TCTGCAATGTTAAAGTGCAAGCATTGCAGGTGTGAAGCTAAGCCTCTGAGAGAGACCGGTATCCACTTTGTCAGGATTGGGATGATGCCTGCAAGGCTCAAGATCACATAAGGCAAATGTGTGCGGTAGAGGCAGCAGTGTATATTGCTCTCTTTCAGGAATCATTTCAAATAGGAAGAATAGGTTTATCCCTGTGTTCTTCAATGGGTCTTTTTTCTTCTTTTTCCAAGCAACTATACAACTTGATGTTGTAGAAGCCGAGACAGAGGAGATAACCCAAGGAAATACGCTCCTTCGGGCCAAGAGAACCACCAAGCGCTTATCTGTGACATCTCTTCCTTCGGGGATGCAAAAGGTAAAATGCTTAAAAAACACACACACACACACACACACACACACACACACAAACTTGCCTCTAAAGACCTGCAAATAAGAACATTAATGGATTAAAAAAAAAAAAAAAAGAGTTCTCTCCTACCATAGTCCCCTATAGTAAATCCTTTAAATCTGCTGTTTGTGTCTTTTCTCCAAGAATTTAGGGCTCAGAGAGAGGGGCGTCCAGGTCTGATTCCTCTACTTCTAAGCTCAAACTCTTCAGCTCCTACTATAGCCTGGGCAACAGGGGAGTTTGGAACTTCATGCTGACTTGCTCAACTGTTCAATGTCAAGTTAGTATGTTAGTCATTTGGCCTCTCCCTGTGTGCTGTGTGGAGAGGAATTCACAAGACCAGTGCTGTCCATCCAATCAACGTTCTGAGACAACACAGCTTTCATTGTCCAGTCAAGTAGCCATTCGCTACATGAGGCTTTTGAGACTTTGAAATGTGGCCAGGGCCACTGAGGAACTGAGTTTTTCATTTCATTTCATTTTAATTGATATTCAATTGAATTAATTGAAATGGCCACATGTACAGCATAAACAGTGCCATGCTAGATGGTATGTATAAACTTTAGTTACCCAGATTATTTTTTTAAATGTCATAATTTAATTTAAAAAAACTGGATTTTTATTTTCCTTCCTTTCTTTCTTTAAACAGGTGGGTCTTATTATGTTGCCCTTGCGATGATTATTGCCCCCCACCACTTTGGTACCAGGAATTGAACTCAAGGGGGCTTAACCACTGAGCTACATCTCCATCCCTTTTTAAAATACAGTTTATTTAGAGACAGGATTATGTTAAGGTGCTTAGGACCTTGCTAACTTGCTGAGGCTGGCTTTCAACTTGTGATACTCCTGCTTCAGCCTCCCAAGCCCCTGGATTACAGGAGTGCACTGCTGCAATAAGGTCCCCCGGGCTGGTCTTAAACTCCTGAGGTCAAGCCATTCTTCTCCCTTAGCCTCCCAAGTACCTGAGTAGCTGAGGCTCCAGTTCATGAGCCATTTTTTTTTCTTTTTCTTTTTGGTAACTGGAATTGAACTTAGGAGTTCCACCACCAAGCTACATTTTCAGACCTTTGTTTTTGTTTTTTTTGACAGGATCTCCTTAAGTTGCTAAGGCTGGTCTTGAACTTATGATCCTGCCACAGCCTCCCAAGTTCCTGGGATTACAGGCATACACCATCACACCCAGCAGCCCAGACTATTTTTTAAAAATAGAAACCTGACCTATTATTGTTTTATGTRTATTAAGCACTTACTCAGCTTGCTACTATGGGCGCAGTGGCACACGCCTGTGATCCCAGCTATGTAAAAGATTGGCAGGAGGAACACAAGTTCAAAGCCAGACTTAGCAACTTAGTGAGACCCTATTTCAAAGCAAAAATTTAAAAGGAAGGTGGGGGGAGACTGAGGAGTAGCTTAGTGGCAGAGAGCCTCTGGGTTCAATCCCCAGTACTTCAAAAACAAAACAAAACAAAAAAGCAAAAATCCTGACATTATGTTCCAAGCCCTGTTCTAAGTGCTTTTAAAATATCAGCTCCAATAATTATTGCAACATCCCTATAAGATAGGTAGCAAAACTGTCCTTATTTTAGGGATGATTCTCAGAGGTTAAGTAATTTGCCCAGTTGAGTAGAAAGCCAAGTTTCCAAGGAAAGATAAAAATGGATAAATCTAGCTTTAATTAAATAAGAATTTCATGCCTCAAAATACAGCAAACCTAGCTCTAGAGTCCCCCTGGCACTTTTTTTTTTAAAGAGTACTCAGGGTTGCAAGCATGTTAAGCACATACTCTACCAATGAGCTACACTTCTAGCCCCTCAGTCACAATTACTATGCTATGTATTAATTGTACTAATTTCTTGGTTTAATATGGTAGCCAATAGCCACATGTGACTATTTACATTAATTGAAATTAGATGAAATTAAAAATCCAGGTCCTCAGTTGTACTAGCTCCATTTCAAGTGGTTTATAACCACAGGTAGGTAGTAGCATTTGTATTGGGAATAGCACTGATAGAGTATGCCCAGATTCAAAGCAAGTTTTATCAAACAGCACTCTGGAACATTGCTGTCAGAGTGAACCCATATTAACTTTGAATTTGGCCGCTTGCATGCAAAATTCATATCTATTGTGCTCCTACTATGTTCTGGGCAATTTCTAGTTTGTGGGGCTAACAGAGACAATGGTCTTAGTTTTGTGGCACTCACAGGCTAATAGAGGAGAAATACTGTGTGCCATAGTATTGCAGAGCAGTGGGGCTATGGACAAGGTTTTGAATAGATGGCACTTGGACAAGTGGCCATCCATATGGGAAAAGAATGACATTGGATCCTTACTTCACAGCACATACAAAAATTAATTATTGTTGGTTTAAAGTAGGAAAGACAAATCTTAAAACTTCTGGAGGATAATATAAGTATCTTCATTATTTCAGGACAAGGACTTCCTAGTACACAACAGCATTGACCTTAAAGATAAAGATGGATAAATTTGGCTCTAATTAAAATAAGAATTTCATGTCTTGAAACACATTAAAGCAGAGATTAGCAACTGGTTATAAAAATTTTTGGTTTTCCCCCACAATGTTCTCAAAATTATATTTGAATCAATCATCCATGCTTGAAAATCAGACTATTTCAAATAAAAATCTAGATATTTTTCCAACTTTCTTTTGAAACATAGGGAGATTTGGAAACAAAGCAATTCCTCAGAGTAACCAGTAGGGGCAGCAAAGAGGCATCCACCTGCAGGCAACCTGTGTCAGGGCACACAGACCCATGGATCCTGGTTTACAAATCCTGCCTAGGTACTGGATTTAGTAAGAGTTGCAGTCAATGAACACACAGACATAACTTGGCAATTACTGAGTGGGGTAGATGCTCAGTAGGAAAAAGGACAAGATTTTCTGGAAGAGAAAACAGAAGGGTCTTGCTTTKGTTGGTGATCAGGGAAGGTCTTGCAAGTGGCATTTGAGCCAGGGCAAGCTGGCAGGGCAGCCGCGGTTCAGCAGATTGTAAGCTCCTGGTCAGGCAAAGGCTAGGACCCTGACATAATCCCACATCCTACTCTGTATAGATTTCACAATAATCCTTGTGCTAATTATTAAGTTCAAAGGAGGCAGTGGAACTCAGTAAGTCTAAAAAAGGCATATCAGCCAGAAGCCATGACCTAGGAATAATTTCCAACAGCAACACTCTCAGGACAGGTTACTTGTAGCCACCAAGCTAAGGACAGTGGGAAAGGTGTCAGGCATGGGGTAAAAAAGCACCCTGAGCTTTCTTTTTACGTCTGGAGTCATGACTGCCCTGAAAATAAGGAAACCTGCAGAAACGAGATCAAATTAACAACTGGATCCAGTGCTAATGAGCTTTCTGGGGGCACTGGTCCACATCAGCCCCACACTCTCACTGTGCTCAGCAGCTGCAGAGGCAATTTCTTCTTCTTTCCCTTACGAATGACCTGCTTTTTTCCCCTGACGCTGTATATTCTTTCGAAGCCAGACAATCTAATTTCTCTGCATCCTATAGCTCTCTTCAAAGGGAGCTCTGGGCACAAAGGAGATACAWGGGGCATGGAGAATAATAAGAATATGGTCTTCAACCCAATGCTGTTATGTGGCCAATGTTCACTTTATGAAACAGTGTCCAAAGGGTGAGAATTCCTATTTAAGCATCATCATAGAAATAGCATTGGTATTTTCTGATCTGATCTGTTTTTGCATTTTTCTAATAGGTACCATATTCATCAAAGAAAAGACTACACTTTCCAACTCTTAAAAAAAAGAAACGTGAAATTCTGACAATAGAAGAGCTTCAGATGCAGGTAGTGGACAAAGGCTTTTACTTTCTGTGTGTGAAGCATCAGAGGACCCAACCTAACTAAACACATAGCCCTGAATATAATTAACAATTAGCAATAAGAAATAATGTTAGCAGGGCAGGGGGGCATTCTGAGAGTGGCCAAAGGGTTGCTAAGGGCACCTCGATGGTGCTGTGCCCCATAAATATTAAGTGAATTCCATTAAAATGAAAGCATACATGTAGACTTCTTAGAAGAAAAGAGATCACCTTTACCACCAGGGGGTAAATGTTATGTTTTAAAGCTCTGTTTTCTATGTCTTGAATTAGAATAACACTTAGGGGCTTGAAAACATCAGACATCTATCTCTTTGGTTTTGACAAGTGTTTCCAACACGTGGTTTCATCTGTCACAGGCGGATGACCTCAAAGAAACATTGTTGGATAAATCCATGAAACTGTTGGCCCAAAGACATGCTGAGCTTCAACAGTGTGAGCTTCTAGGAGATGAAATGCTTCAGTCTTCTAAGCAGTTCCAGAAGATATCCAAGAGAACCATGTGGAAGTATAAACTGAAAAATATGTGTTGCCCATGTACCTGCTGCTTCTGATTTTGTTTCTGACTAGATAAGAGCTAACTAACAAGAACAAATAAAAAAAAAAAAAAAGCTAAAAAAATAAAAACAAATAAATATAAAAGAGCTAATTATGTAGGAACTTTTATTTTTTGGTACATAATCCTGAATAAATCTCTCTAGTGAATTAAAAGATAAGGGTGAATTTTAAAGAACATTCTCCAAGAATTTTTTAAAAAGGATCGCTTTTGAAAAATTGATATTTATGTCTGAGTCCATAGGCACAAACTTTTGCTTAATGATTCTCACTAATAATGAGAAAAATAAACTTTTGTCAGGGTACAGCAACTCTGCAAAGAAATTTCTCCTGAAACATGCCAGATGAAATCAGAGGAAGCATTTAAAGGTATTATGACACTCTTAATATGACTACTACTGAGCTAATTTTAAACTTTTCATTTTTAAATATAAAAAGTCTTATTAAAATTATAAAAACGTAACATAATGAAGGTATGATTCATGGAAAATGTCATGTCTTTGAACTAAAATAAATGGATGAGAATGGAACCTAACAAGAACTGCATGTGTAATACTTAAGAAAATTACAAACGATCCAGACTTAGTTCAATTTTTACGATTAAAAATTCCTTTATGCAAGATCATCTTAAACTATTTACTTCAAATAACTTWTCATTTTATAAATATATTTTTTGATTGAAAATGACTTCTAAAGGTCAAAACAGTAGAGAAAAAACTTAAAACATTTAACAACTACATTCTTTAAGTACTAGAGAGAGGGAGAGTGAAAGAGAAAGCAATGCCTATGGATTTACTTTTGGATCTTGTAATTACCTCTGACACCAGTGATTCTTAACATCACAGTACCTCTTCCCACAGTAAACATACACCATAAACACTGTGCATGTAATTTCACAGGTTCATGGTCCTTCTGAGGCCTATTCATGGACTTCATTTTCATTTTCTAAAGTGGTAATAATTTCCAGAAATTGACTCATCATCCCATATATACACCCTATAAATGCCACCTTCTCAGTCTTCACTTATTTTATAAGGCAGTCAATGTCACCAGTTACTAATGGGCACAAACATGTAACTTAAAGATATTTTATTAAACATTTTTGGATGATGTTTCCTACTTTTTAAGAATGAAAAATGCATTTCAATAAAATCATATATACTGAAGCCATTTTCCTTTGTAGGAAGAAATATAAATGAGATGTGCATTAATATTTAATAGCAAAGTACTTCACTGGCTAAACTTCAAATATGTCAAGAGCACAACAAATTCTAAACATACTAAGATTATGTAGCTCTTTCAATATTTTGAGGCAACAGTGATTCGCCTGCCTATGGCTTAGGATCTGCTTCCATGCTTGTTTCTTGAGCTTCTTCTACCTCTGAGAGCTTTTCATCATCTGTAATTGAAAAAGAAACACAATACCTTAGTCAAATTTGCCAACATTTTATGCTTAATGCACATGTGAAACATTTTTATCTTTTATTAGCCAATACTTTTAAAGAAAAGATGGCAAAATGGCAGTCTGTAACTGCAACTGTCTCACATAAATGTTTGATTTTAAAAATGCTGTTTGGTGGTTGTTATTGTTGAATCAAAATTTAAAATCTGTATGACAGATTTCACTTAAAAAAATAAACATAGGCCTTGGGACAATCAGATCAAGTGAACAGAAATTTCCAATTGGCTATAATCAATAGCAAGTCTTCTCTTCCTTATAAACGACTTAAAATTCATTACATGTCTTTCATTTTTTTTCACTCATTATTTTTGGGAATCTGAGTTTTAAAAGTATATATCTAAGGGAAAGATATATTTTCCCTCAAAGTACCTACCATTCATTGGGTATGCAAAAGGTTTTTTTTTTTTTTTTTTTGAGATAATTTCTACTTACTTTCCAATGTTTGCTGAAGTTCATGGATAGTACTAAGAAGAACATGAAACTGTTTCTGGCTCCATTCTAGCTTATCTTCAATGCTTTCTTTAATATGTGAAAGATGCTCTAACTCTTTGCCCAGAGCCTCTAATTCTCTGAAAAAAGTAAAACAGTGCTATTTTTTGCTGTTTTGGGAAATAGAACTTACAATTCTAATCAAACATTTAAAGTATTAAATAGTATTTTTWAAATKTAAAAAGAATTAAAATACTCCATTATGTGAGACTTGTAAAGTTTAGAACTTCTTAACTACTAAATGTGCACTATTTTCATTAAAGCTATACTTTTATTTTTCATTTTTWAATTTTATTTATTTAAAAAAAWTTTTTTTAGTTGTAGTTGGACACAATGCCTTTATTTTACTTATTTTATGTGGCGCTGAGGATCGAACCCARTGCCTTGCACATGCTAGACGAACACTGTACTGCTGAGCCACAACCCCAGCCCAAAAAAGGTATATTTTTATATAAAGTTTTTAAGTACAGAAAAACTCAGATAATAGAATAACCAAACTCAAGAAATAGTACATTTTTATCATACTAACTTCAAGATTTTCCTTCAGTTAAAAAAAAAAAAAATCAAAAACAAAACCTGCTGCTGATTAACTTGAAATACCCTTTGAACTTCACCTCCCTCCTCACCCGCTTCTCTAGTTCCCTACCTCAGGCCTTCTTTTGTCCTTTATTTTCCATTCACACAGTCATTGCATCATTCCAACCCCTTTTTAATGCATGTATCTGTGTTTCTGATAATATATAGTATTAATAAATAATACTTGGTGTTTTCTAACTTTTACAAATGGTTATTTTCTATATGTATGTAGAAAATTAGAAATAATTTAAAACTCATGTGTCTGTCATTTTCCTCACTGATTTTTTGGGGGGATCTGTGTTGTAAAAGTATATGTCTAGCTAGGCCTGGTGGTGTACCTGTAACCCCAGAGACTCAGGAGGCTGAAGCCAGAGAATCACAAGTTCAAAGTCAGTCTCAGTAACTTAGTGAGACCCTGTCTCAGAATTAAAAATAAAAAGTGCTGGGGATGTAGCTCAGTGGTAGAGTGCCCCTGAGTTCAATCCCTAGTACTAAGAGAAAAAAAAAAAAAAAAAGTATATATCTAGTTTATTAAGTTTATGCTGTTTAGTATTTTATTACATGAATAGAATATATTCTATTTATCCATTTTCCCATTGAGACACATCTCATGCATTTTAGACCTATAGATAGAAAGATTGGAAAAAGAAAAGGATCTAATCAAACAGTGTTAGGATATATAATGTTGAAAATCTTGATTTCTCCTTTTGACACGTTATTTATTTTATAAAAATGGAATGTATAGATGAGTATACTTGAATGTTTATGTAGGTTAGTTCCTTTGCAAGGAAAAGCTCTAAACTTACTTTAATGTCTCATGCCTATCTGGATGATGCTGGATCACTTTTGCCAAAGCATCATATTCTGAAAGACATAAAAATATTTACCAAGTTTTCTTTTAAAAACCTTAAATATCAAAAGAAAACGCATAGTATCACACATGTCTCCTACTCATTTTCCTAGTACATAAAGAAATGAAAACAACGATGGATGGGAGTATTGCCATGCCACTTGATTGAACCACAACGATAATCATCTGTGACATCAAAAGTGTTAAATACAAGGATTTTGGCTCCAGATTCTGTTTTTCCACTAACATGTCCTGTACARAATATAAGAAGTCAGCATAAGCATTAATGACTTTTAAGTCCTTATCGATCAAGTGGACTGAATCTGAAAAGGATCTTACTCTTTGCCCAGAGTGTGTGGTGGTGGTGGTAGGGAGGAGAATCAGTGAGAAAAACATATCTTACTGTTAATTTGTTAATTTCCTCACCATTCTAAAGGTAAAAACTTCAGAAACTTTAAAATACTTCAAAATTAAGATGATTGTTGCTGCTTTACTAAGATCTCTAAGATTAAGTTTGATTGCTTATATTAACATTTCTATGAAATGGTAAATAGTGAGGTTCACTTAAAAGTCTCCTATTCAATCAAAATCCTTTGCAATATATTTTTAAATAATCTGGCATTGATATTAATTATTATGTTATTATATTTTGCTGTAAGTTGGCCACTGAAACTTTAGCATACATACTTTGAACTGAATACAAAAGCCACCTTTTATAAAGGGGAAATAAGCTAGGCTTAGTATGCATGCATCTAATTCCAGCAGCTCTGGAGGCTGAGCCAGGAGGATTGCAAGGTTTTTTTTTTTTTTTTTAGTTGTAGGTGGACACAATACCTTTACTTTATTTATTTATTTATTTATTTATTTTTGGTGGTGCCAAGGCAAACCCAGTGCCTCACACGTTTGAGGCAAGTGCTCTACCACCGAGGACTGCAAGTTTGAGGCCAGAAGAAGAGATAAAAAGATATGGGGACGTAGCTCAGTGGTAAAGCACCCTGTAGTCAATCCCCAGAACTAAAAGAAAAAAAAAAAGAGGTCAGGATAAAACTTTATCTTAATTAGCTCTCTAAAAAGTGAAGTTTATTGTTTTGGAACT